AAAAAAAAAAAAATCTTAATTTCGAGATTCAATCTTCAACTTAACTTTCCCCAACACAAAACGTTCGTTACCATTTTCCGCATTGTGATTAATTAGTTACCATTCGCGCGCATATATCGTTTCTAGTATGAAGTCAACTGTTAACCAAATACATGTGTCAAAAAATATCGAGGGAATAATATTACGAAAGTGTTTGTTTGGACATACAGATTTTACATACACGACGAGTAATAGTAGATTAGATAACTCTCGCCACGTACGTTCGATCGAACTATCCAATAAACTCTTCACTGGAAACTTCCTCTTTTTCTCTTGCTCTCTCCATTTCCCTATCTTTTCCACACGATTCGCAGACATTTCTAGGCGACATTCCTAGGAGACACTGAGAGACACGTCTAACCAAAGCCCCCTCGATGGCCATGCCGCTCTTCATTCACACCATGACCTCAGGCACCCTCATATCTGTAACACCGCGAAACTACATATTTCTTTATTCGCACGTTCATCCAACCCCATCCAGCCTCGGACACGCTTTGCTCGTTCAACAAAAGTTCTATCAATCATCCGATATCGACCAATGAGTCACACGCGCGGGAACCGAGTTAAAAAAAAGAAAAAAATCGCGAGAGTTCACGCCGCGACGAAATTAATATCCCGGCCGCGTAATTCGTTTCCATTACTAGGGAGGGGACACGCATTAAAATAATTATTTCTCAAGGCGTGTTCAGTCTAGCAACGACTGCAACTGCGACACTGTTACGTAAACTCTTGAAACGATCGTTATTAGCCAGCCGGGTGCGATACGCTACACGATGCGAAGCCAAGTAGTAAATAAAATACTTCGCCGCGGGTAAATGATTAATCAATAATCTATTGGGAGAAGAGTCGCTGGAATTTCTTTGCCGAATCCCACTGTACTACTGCGACGATAGTAGTGCATCTGACACGGAGTTATTTCCTGTCGTTTCGACGACACCCGTTCCGCTCCACCGATCCAGACTGTTCGGAAAAACGATCCTCGCTTTGTTACAAAGTCAGGATTACATTAGTAAGTTTCGCGCTGTGAGTGGATTTTCGAGTCGATCTACGGCACGATCAGCAGCAGGTATCCACGTGTCGGTGGATAAAATTTTTACAAGTGCTCGAACGTGTTATATATATTATTTTCGTTTGATAGAGGGCAGTGCGTTTATGCAGCCCAATCGCAAGCTTTGCGCGCCGATTTCATTTCAAATATTATCATTCTTAGGTATCGATTGATCACTTAAATCACTCGTGTGATTTTCATATACCGAGATTAATTATTCACGAATTCACGTTCAAACAATCGATCGACGTCCATTTTAACTTCGGCAGATATTGGCTGTAACGCCACGCATTGAATATAATAAGATTGTTGAAATACGAATAACGAAGACAGAGAGAAATTTCTCTAGCGTGCATCATAGGAGATTCGAATCCGATATCGAACGAAAATTAAATAAATTCTTCGATCGAGTTCCACTCCGCGTGAGTGGCAGGTATTAATTAAATCACGATTCGTCAGGCACGCCGTGTTCGATATCAAAGTGTGAAGATAATTTACCTTTTTGTAACAAAACAGTCACATCGAGTTAGCTTCGAGCGTTAAACTGACGACTAACGAATTATTCTGAATTACAATTTCACGACGTCTGTCGTCGGTGGTGGAATGTTACCAACAGTTGATAACACTATCAATGGCTATTAGCTGCAGGCAGAATACAAAGATACGAAAATAATTTCCGTGTAGTAAATTTCCGTGACTGAGCTACGATATTCCTCCCAAAAGAACGATTTATTTTACTTACAACCGACGCGCAGCTCCCTTAACGTCAATGTGTACCAGGCATTATGTTGCGTCCTAGGAGGGAAGTATTTGGCGGCCATTATTACGGGGCTGCGAAGAATGATGTACAACGCTGCCACCGGGATAATACGCTCAGGCGAACTCAGGATCGTTGGATTTATTTTACGACGCTTGTCTATGACACGTGACACATCCGCTGTGTCTGACAACGATGTTATCCCACGATGTTTATTTTTATTGTTGCCCGCTCGCGCCAAATCGCGAAAAGTCGGAAACGAAACTTCGTATCTAGCCAGCTGAATCCCCTTGCTTGTTTGCTTATTTCTCATGTTTGCATTCGCAAGAATCGTCCAGATCTGTATAAATCTCTGCAAACTTGTCACATGTCGCGCACGCAGGATCAAACTGATTGGTTATACTTCGATCGAAGTGACACTCGAAAAATTAAAAAAAAAAAAGAGAAAGAAGGAAAGACGGAATAGGAGTCGCAAGCGCGTAGTTAGCCGACCGAGGTTTATCATTTAGAAGCAGGAAGGCGCTTGTATTTTATTCAGGATTTATTCGTGGCTCGGCAGGAAACCCCGTACGTAAGCCTGTGGCTTTTAACAGTAATTACGACAGTCGGTATTAACGAGTTACCGTAAAGTAATTAAAGTTTCAAATGATGAACGGCCGGTGAAATTGAATCGCGAAACGCGTGTATTTTTCTCGCGTTGAAGGGAAGGGGACGAGGGATCGCGATCACGGGCGTAGGTGGGGGAGGTTTCATCGTATCGCAAGCGCTATTAATCGGTAATTAATAGCCGTTAGATCATCGATGCTTCATTGTTAATTTCGTCATGAATTATTTCATACATCGCCGGAACCGCGTACCGATAACCACTCGCGAAATTAAAGCCATTTCTATCATTCATATGCAATTGCTTCGTGAAATTTATGCGCCTGACATGTTTTTGTGTGTCAGAGGCGTTCTGATCGAATCGGACGCGAGTGACAGTCAAATTAAGCGACTGTGCTAATTCACTCGATCTGCCATGTCAATGTACTTTCAGCAGAGATGTTGCAGGATATTTCGTGTTACCTCTTTTTTTTCTTCTTCTTCTTCTTCTTTATTCATTCGACACTTATCAACAGATTAGTAGAATGAGAGCGTCAAAATTAATACTTTGAAATTAAATGCTAATTCACTAGTGGCGGATCTGAATGTACTTTCAACAGAAATGTTGTAGGATATTTTTCGTTTTTATTTATTCAACATTTATAGTTATCGACAGATTGATATAAATCGGGAGCATCTGAAATAGTTCGAGATTAAATTTCGCTTTATCTTCCAGCGAGGAAATTCATTTCGTTTCGAATTGTCGGTGAAAAATTTGAAATTTAAAATTTTCAACTGCTTCCTCCTGCTAGACGAAAGAAAATCTGTCCGTGACACTGTACAACACTGTTGATTATATAAAGAACATGTACATTTCACGTCGCGAAAGTATCAAGATGAACTCGACTCGCAACGCGCGAGTCGAAAGAGGAAGCAGTTTCTATCTTCACAGAGTATCGCGCGTAATTGTAATAAATTAATCCGCAATCGGAGATGTCGGATAACAAGTAGCAATATTTTTGTCTAATGCGACCGTTCTTTCGTTCTGATCGCAGATTGAGGATCACCCATGCAAAGCTAAGCGACACTGGGAATTACAGTTGCGTGCCCACTGTTGCGGAGAGGGCCAGTGTCAACGTGCATGTTATTAACGGTGAGTTTCACATACAAATTGCACGGCATACTGCTCTTATATTTTAACAGTTGATACAATTATAAATGAATCGACGCCGGTATTTCGAGTCGCACAATTTCCACTCGTTTGATATTCTGATGCAGCTCATCTGTGAGTGTTCCTTGAGTGACACGTGTCTTTATTACGCTTCAAACTGAAAGGAAGTATCTTTCAGATGGGATTTCTACGTAATTGAATAGCGACTTTGGAAAAATTATGTCACGATCCTTTGATTCGACACTCCAATAGATTATACGTGAAATGTAATATAATGAGAACAGAGTGAAGCTTCAAATTTCGGGAGAAGATCACTTGATTTCCACTAAAACTTCGTTCACCCGAATCTCGCGAATCGAAGCCACGAACTACAGCGAGGTAATTCAAATAAAAAGAATCGATTAGACTAATTCAGTTCGAATTTAATCCTGAAATTGAACAGCTCGTAACAGAAACTCAGTTGTATATTTTTACTTTTTCACCTCGGGGAATATATTCTGAATGTCCTTCGTTACAATCTGTCAACGTTTCAAATAAAAATGGGAAACTCTAACAGCGGCGTCCGACCGTACTGCGTGTGTATGTGTGTGATTTTATATAATAAAATTTCGAAGCCCGAAATATAATTAAAATCTTTAATCTCGTTACTTTCATACAGCCCGCGGAAATTCGTTTTATCGCCTGTCAATAATAGATTTCGATCATGTTTTAATTGGTATTTGTAGAGGGACGGGATTGAAATTTCATTATTTAAATATTCGATGAGTTTCATTATAATTAAATAATGTGATTAAAAACATACGTCGGAACGATTTACGATAAAATTTATGTGATAATAAACCAAACCAGATGTGAAATCATGGTGTGTACAATATTTTTAATAACGTATTCGAACCACCAACTTCGATACTTTTAATTATAATTAAAATTCTCTTAAACGAATTAAACACCTCGTGCTTCTATTAAAATATTCTCGACTCTCCCTCTCTGCA